CGCTTAGGTTTCCCACTTTCCCTGAATAACTGCAATATGTTTGTGGAACACTTCTTCACTCGTCGTGAAGTGAAGCTCGTGTATATGCCATATCATTAGAGCAGCGGTGTCATGGGTCATAGACCGCTTATTTACGTAAATCATCTTGACCACATGAAAGTATCGCATGGTGAATAAAAAATGGTTGTTCGGGCAGAACACTTTTTGCGCTGCGTTCCACTGGGCTGCATGCGCATCACCCATCACAAAACGAACGTGAAACAGTTATCCAGTTACAGCCGCGTAGACTCGCCGGAGTCGACCCAGTGCTTCAGTGTCATGCTGCTATTGCAGCTAGGACACAATGAAAACTGCATGATGTGAAAATGCCTCGCTCTGTCGGAAATACCGACGACCACCACCGGATAGCCACCTTGAGGGAGCTTGTAGGTAGCGTCCATACGCAGGACAAAAGAGCCAGGATCCCGATCAGCTCTTCGAAGGAGCTTCTTCGAGCTGACACCGACGACAGACGGATCTTTGTCACTTCCATTTCCTGTAGTGGGGTTGCCGTCTCTATCGCTTCGGGATGTGAACGTAAACATGCCGTCTCTTCTTCCTTCCCTATAAAGGATGCGACCCTGATTCGCTGTCTAGCCGTGTCCAGGACATCGCTTCCACCTAGCCTTCCGAAAACATGATGGAGCATAAAATGCTGCACGGAGGCAAGCGTGGGCGCTGTTGCCGGCGCTAGGCTGAAACGCTGAAGTAGCGCGTACTAGATGCGCTTGGGCTTTAGCCATTGTGCCGTGTAATCCCTCACCACTTCCTTCATCGAAGGTGTCAGTACTGGGCGACTCTGAGCGCGGGCATACGTCAGGTGACTGTATGCTTCTTCGATCATGACCTGCCTGCTATGCTAAACACCATGATGTGGGCTCGCCAGGGGCACTCCGTAGCCACAGCTACGTCACGGCACGCCTTGCGGCCGCGGCGAAGACGCTGGACACGCATGGGATGAGGTGCAGGATGCATACACACGTGGCACAGCTCCAAGTCACTTTTTACTATGCGGTACTTCTTGAAGTCTGCCAAGAGAGCGTCTGCCTCGAGTTGTGTCATCGCAGCAGCAATAAGCTACCAGGGGTGACGAGGGTGACGGAGATCCGCAGAGGGAGAGCGAGGTAAGCAGTGGTGGGTTAGCGTTTGAATGAGTGGTTTGCCGAATGAGTGATTGTAGATTCTGGTCGGGTGTTCCGATTTCTGTGATTGGTTAAATTCGACTTTGGTAAGAGCCCAACACTGAATAGGTGCCAATGAGTAATTATGAGCGACGGTCACCTCTTCTGTGGTACAGCGGATGGTTTTATGGCGGTAGCAGAACAGTTTTGGTGTTTCTCGTACTTTTGCTGGTGCAGCCAGTACTTCCTCATATGACAGGTCTATCAACTGTCGAAGTCCTGGATATATCTGCCCTTATGCCAGTTTTGGGTGGCGCCTAGTCGGACTGGTAGTGTATATCATCGTACGCCACACAACAGGAATTTGTATATATATATATATCAAGCACTATTTTCGTCTTTTTCAGCCACGACAAGCACTATACCTTCCAAGATCAATCTAGTGCACGGACCCGATCAACTTCATTGGATCAACCGGTCCTCGATGTCAAGTCATGGGAAATACAATAGACAGCGTTACGTAGGGCATATGTGTATAAAGGCCACAGCACAATGCTGAAGAATAATAGTTATTGCAAAAATTACGATTTATTGCTAGTGAGCCATGGCTACAATAGTCCTGACTACTTCTTTGGAAAGCCGAACAGTGCTCTGCAGCTCGACAAGCTACGATTAGCACGTTGAATCGTGACAGTTTTATAGCTGGCCGATAGTGTCGATGCACGTAGCGATAGCTGGTCGGTAGTGTCGACGCACGTAGCGATGCCAAGGCAAGTTTGCACCCACAGAAGAGTCTCTCGCAAGTGCTACTTGTTAAAGGAGCGCAGAGGAGAGGTTAATCATACTCCACAGCAGAGTGGCCGGCAAGACGTGGTCTTGGCATCCTGCAGAATGGATGTGGCGAAGTCGACCTTTTTTGCCTGGTCAACTTGCGATGCCAAAGGAGAATTAACGGAGTCTTCCACTGCGTGCTGCTCACTCGTGGGTAGGTGTAGCTCATTTTGACGCTTCACGATAGCAAATTCAAATTGAGGAGAGTGAACAATATCAGCAGAAGGTGACAAGTGGTCAGCCATGACGAGTTACTTGTCCACGCACGCATCGAACAGCAGTCGAACCTCAGCGAGGGTGCCTTTTTCACCCCGATCTTTACACATACGCTGTTCAGATTGCGTAGTTTCTCGACCGCGCTGGTGATACGGCGGTGTGCGTGACAGCGAGGCAAATGCTTTTTAATGCCTCGACCGTCATGATGGCATCTTGAATCTTGTAGCGCTTCAAGATCTCGAGCGTTGACGACCATCGTGTAAAATTGGTCTTGATTGGCGTGTAGCTAGTCACCTTAGCTAGCGCAGCTGCGGGTTTTACGTGACGCAGTTGAATCATTAGATTTTGAATCAGATCAATCTGAGTTTGATAACTCTGAGTAAAAGATTAACCGCGAGGTTAAACCGATGGCTTCGCGGTCAATCAGCGGGGTGACCAGTCTCGTTGCGATACTTTAATTGGTTGAGCAATTTTCACCAACAATAAAACGAACCACGCAGATGTCCTTCTCGTACACGCCCAGAATGGAAGAAATGTGCACCAACTGAGCCTCTGCAGTCTGTCCGTTCTACATCGGTGACAGTGCGAGTAAGCGTTGGTGGTGCTAGCCGTGTAAACGTAGACCGCGTAGATAGAGGAAGTGCATCAAGTTACTTGTCTATCTCCTTGGCGATAATGTACCCGATGGCGAGCGTTACACAACGCATGTAGTGCTGCATATTCTTTACACTCGTTGGTCGCTACAGCTGCACGCGTGAATTTATTCTCCACTTCGGCTATTGCTGTACCGGGAAGGCCATTCATTGGTAGATATTGCGTGTCGCCTCATTTATAAAGCCGAGCAAGGCGATCGGCGGTGTCACCGAGGTTTCGAGCTCGGCAAATACCGCAGCATATCCGTCGTGCTTGCTGGTGAAATGGATCAAGAGGCCACTGCAGCCCGTGCCATTCGTTTGCTTCCTTTTGCAACCGCATGTCCTATACTCGAGCACAGCTTTTCCAAGGTCAGTGAAGTTGTAGGCGCAAAGCCGGCGGGACGCCATGGCAATATGAAAAAGAGAGAGGGAGAGATGCTTTTCTCGGAAAAAATGAATTGTGCGAGTGAGGCTGCAGTAGAGTCTGTCGGAGGCCGTAGAAGAATGACTGCTGGCTGTTGTGGCGGAAAAATACTGTATTACAATATGTATTACTCTACCATACTTCTCCGGTCCCTTAAAAGAATTAACTTTTGTTTTTAATAAGAAAGCTCGTGGGTTTGATTAGTCCATATCCTATTTCTTACGGATAAAAAATGTATCGTTAGCGGTAAAAAAAATAGGACCTCTTCACTTTAAAATTGTAAAAACGCAAAAAACAGCTGTGAAAGTGGTCCACAAAGCTCGAAATAATCCACGTACAACGTACCGTTGCACTTATTAATAAGATCTGCACTGTACTCTTCAGTTGGCTGAATACTGTTGTCACCGTGAATGCACCTTTTTATTTTAATAATTGAAAAGTGCATTCAAACCAAGTTAAAAGTAAAAAAACAGTATTGCAATCATACGCCTATTAATAATGCACCATGCCATTCTAGTCTTATCGTAGAAGCCCAAGATTCCACTAATGCTGCAAACAAATTCTTCAGCCCTCCACAAAGGGATCATTTAAATGATCGATTATTGACGATTTTGGAGGTAACCCGCCTTGCTAAAAAAATATTTAGGGGTAGTGCGGGCAAAGAGCTTTACTGCGAAACTCGTTCCGTCTACAATTAGTTGGTGAATTAAAAATTATCGCAAGTTATGTGAGCTCTTAATTCCTTAACGGGCCGAGGAAGAAACTGTCATATACGCGTTCTGAAAAACAATAGATATATTGAATAGTTTGTGCTTTGCATGTGAAATACCATCCATTTAAGCTTTCTAATACCGAGTTTGCTGGATAGGTAAAATTGACTCTAACAAAACGGAATTGATCTTATTTAGAATTTTTATCTTATAATAACGACCCTAGCCACCAACTTAACTGTCATTTAGGTAACGACCAAGAAAAGGGCCTGCGGTGAAGCGTTTGGGCCCCATCAACGGTGGTCACACTGGTCTACGTGTAAGTATCAACTAAAAAGGAACTGACGATCGTTCTAATGTTATGAATGTGTATGTGCTTGAGTTACTTAGGTCCCCGTGGACGAGCAGCAGGCGCGGTACGTGCTGTCGCTCTCATAAAAGGTTTTCAGTGTGGTCTTTTCGTATTCAAAGCTTGATATTGTGTGTATATCTAGGTAAACCCCGGTGAGTTAACGTGTAAAACAGCAACTACGTGAGTGATTCCGTCTTGAAGTATTTGGACATCGCTACTATCAGTTTGTTAACACTTTTTGACGCGTTTGACTGTAGCATTTAGCTACACCTGAAAGATAATCACTGCTCGAGGTGTCCATCCGAAGTTCAAAGGGATTAGACAAAAGCATGGAGCAGTCGGTAAGCTAGATTCGCCGTGGCCATCATAAGGCTCTATGAAGTAACATCGTTTTGACGTGCTTTTCAGTCACATAGGACAACATCTCTGGTTGTACTACCTGAAACTGCTTTATCGCGAGCAACGCTAACGGCAAGGAAATGATCAATAGAACGCAACCCACGCGGGGGTAAAACCAAGAACTTTGATTTCACAGTTGGCGATCGGTTTGGTGTACTTCGCGCCAAAATACTAGGTCTTTTGAAGACGCGTCCTTTTTAAAATCTTCGCCTTGACGACAATAACATTTACTTCCGATCCAGTAAGGGTGCTCCCCAGCATCGGTACGAGGTTATGACAGAAGCCAATTTCGTTGCGCTGTTGACGCAAAGAGTGAAGCGCGTTTCTCGTAAGGATAAAGAAGCTTGGAATGGTGAAGTTTTCGAAAATTTATTGTTTGAATTTTGTGTTTACTGTCGCGGTCGCGATAACCGTCCTACTATACATCGAGCCACGGCATCAAGAATTAAGCAGGCGACAGTGGCAGTGCAACGCTACCAGCAGGAGAATGACATTGCTCTAGACCCGATCACAATGAACCACATTGTCACTACACATGCTCGCCAGCCCGATGAAACACAATTTACACTACCGGACGACAACACTACGCGGCAGGCTATGGCGCTCGACGCTTCTATGACCACTACGGCTACGACACACCACGCAGATGCAAAACCACATCTTTCTACCATCAGACTCGAGATTAATGGAAACTGGAACGACTTTCGGGTTGAAGTAGCCTCACTTCGATCTGCGCTGGGCTTACCAGCACATGATAATTTTACTCAAGGAGTTTTGCATGGATTGTTCCAGTTGATCCACCTGAAGACGACCTTGGAGATGGAAACCATCGAGAGGAAAATACTGGTCAAAGCGTTTAGAATAGTAAGAGAAATATAAATGCTCAATATTATTTACTCATTTGTATTAGTCTAAGTGTCAAATGGTTTGTCTCTAAGCTGGTCAATGTCGTCCCCACAATGTCCATAATGGCCAAGAGCACCGTTTTGCTGTCGACCCACATTAGCCTTCATTCCAACCCCTAATACTTCATCCAGATATAGTGAAATACGAGGTTTGCGTTTCTCTAGATCCACTTTTTCAGCGCGCCGAAACCAATCTCAACTGGATTCAGTTCCGGGCAATAAGGTGGCAAAAACAATAGTCGAGCACCTGACTGAAATACGACTTCCTCCAGCTCGTGATACTTGCGTATCTTTGCATTGTCTAGATTAACAATGGAAATCGGCAACGACCAAGGATTTAAGAGAGGAACAACGATCTTAACAAAAGCACGATGAAACGAAGATCTCGTAAATGTCCCCGCTGTAGTCTCCCAAGATGCGAATCCTTGACGGTCAAGGGCCGCGAAGATTGAGCGACGCTGACCACGTGAAAAAGTCAGCTTGACAACGCACTCAGTGCTTCTCTCCGACTACCCGTACCTACTGTACGCGTGGCATCTTTGGAGGTTGCGTCAATGAAAATGAGCTGCTCCGGGTGCGAGTATATTGCACGGAGTTTAGCTTTGTAGTTAGCCGCCTAACGATAAAATAAAACAGAATATTTATGTCAAAAACACTATATCTTAAAAAAAAGCTGAACAAACTCACCTCAAGAGGAACACTTTTACGGGCTTCCCTCGTCAGGACGTTTCTAGCTAGGCCCAAATCAAAACGTAGCGCCCCATAGATAGTCGAAAGTGACACATTAGTCACTGTTGGATGTTCGTCTTGTAAATATTGCTGCAGCTCTTCCAGATAGAAGGTAGGATGGCCTTTAACGTACTGCCTGACAGTAGCTACGACGTCCTGGGGCCAACGGGGGGTGCGAGTGGGCTCTTTTTCTTCGTACACCACGCCTTTCTCCAGAAAAAGACTGTACTAGCGATAAATTTTGCGTGGCTTTGGTCCAAATGAGGTCGCTAATGAGCCCTACGTCGATTCCGTAGACGTGTAGAAGTGAAACAGCTCGCCAACGAAAGTCCGCAGAGTACGTCATGAGTGCTGAAGTCTTAGAAACTCTGTGTTAATTGAGAAAGGCGGAAATGCAGTTTGATCTGTGCAATTCGGGGTTACCGAAGCTAAAACAGTAGCATAGACTGAGCTGGTCAGCTCTAATTTAGAGTTTGTATGTGTGAGTAACACACTAACTACGACATTTTCATCCCTAACCGCAATGGTAAACATGCAAATAACCATATGGGTAGTGCGAACAAAGAGCGTTACAGTGAAACTACATTTAGTCGGTGGAACAAAAGTTATCGCAAAAGTAGTGAGCGCTTCATTCCTTAACGGGCCCGAGAAGAAATTGTCATATACGCGTTTTGAAAGAGAAAAACAAAAGACATATTATATAGTTGTGTCAATTTAATACCCGTAGCAATGTTACTATACAAGTTTTACTGAGCGCTGCCAATCTACCTGAGATAAGTTCTGAATTTCAGCATCTAACGCAGGAATATAAAAAACAGGCAACCAGTGGTTGCCAGCCACCCTGGAGTCATGCAATACCCTATTGGTGGCGTGATGAACAGTATCAACGTCCTCCGTAATTACCGCGTCCTTCTGTAACAAATCACTACCTCTTTTTGCAACCGAGATGAGATCATGTGAGCGCCACCATCAATTGATTTTCAATATTTATTAACATTTGCTAGCCTTTTCGTGGTATAAAGGCGTCCTCTGTTCGGTCTTTAAAAACATACGACAAATTGTGCGATTCGTAATCATCCAGCAGGCTGTATTATAATTAAGAGCTATTCGTCTATCATGTGTATCGTCAAATAATTTCTAATGATTCTGAAACAGGGCAATTACTGTATTCGGATCGACTGTGGTACTGTTAGAGCTGACGACAGCTAGCATCGACGAGTTATTATCCCGGCCAAAAAGGCTTGGACAAAAATGGTAATATATTTTATCTTAAATTAGAGGAATGTAACTCCGCAACCGTAGAGCCGATTTCGTTGTGTGTCCCCTTAATAGATAGCTTGGTGTCTATTTATTCTCGTAAGAACTTCACAGCATCTAATAATGTTCACTACTTTTCAAATGGTCGCCGGTAAGAAATTGACTGCTGCTGAGAAGTACTTGGTTGTGAAGACCTACGAGTTCCTCCGCCAAAAGAAGGCCTCTGCACCGCATCTATGGAAAGGAGGAGTTCGTTATCATGTCAAAGAGTGTTTAGGCTTTGCTACGGGCACCATTTCAGCTATATGGGCGCACTGGGAGCAGCACCACGACAAGAATTTCACCTCGGTAGGCTGTACTTCATATCATTTCAGTTATTATTGATATTTATCATTTCAGTGGTCGACAAATTAATTATGACAGATGGAAGGTCCAAAACCATCTGGGAGGCCTCCGAAACATGGAGAAAGCATACAGCCTCTCGTGCGTGAGTCGGTGTCAAGAATGAACAAGAGCGAAAAACCTGTTGCAGCACCACAGTTAGCACAGCGTCTTAAAGAAGAGCACAACATTGTGGTATCAGTGCGCTCACTACGTCGCGTGCTTAGGAGGATGGGAATGCAATTTATAAAAGGAAGGTCTCGCAATATTATGGCAGAAACGACGGCAAATGTTGCGTTCAGGGCGCAATATTTGAGAAAAAAAGTTTTAAACCTGAACAGACGCAATTTTCCAGTGCGCCCCGAGGTTTATCTCGACGAGACTTTTTGTAACCTGCACCATGTCGCCAATTTATCGTGGGTTGATGCCTGAGCTACGCTGTAAAATCTACGAAGGTTTTGCATCGCTCACGTCAGATACGTGGGTAGATGCATACACACACGCACAGAAATACGAGACAAAATATCTGCAGCAAGGTGATGAATGCGAAATTGCATCGGAACCAGAGGGCAGCAACGAGGACACGGAAGAGGATGACGCCGTCGATGACAATGAAGCTGTAGCCGATTAGGAATATGAACGGGTGACCCGTTGTATGTTCTTTACACTCTAGATATTCTTTTGACGGATTCTTTTTAACAAGTTTATAATTTTCTAACAATCGTCAAATTGCGGTAATATTTGGAATTTATCCATCCGGTTCTGAAAATCCCCACCTGTTATCCCGGATCTGCCAATGAATATGCATGCATGTTAGTACGTGCCAAGCCCACAATTGCAAACAATTCTGCAAGATATAGAGCCTTTTTTAAACGGCCGATTGGGAGATCAATGGTTGCAGATACGCAAAAATAGACCTCAAAATCGGAATCTACGCCCGATTTTACCCCTTATATCTAACTATCGTTATGGGTTTTGTGAAGGGAAGGGTTACCTTTTTTGGACCAAAGTTTGTCCAAGGTTTGGTGGCCGGGATAATAGTGACGTTGAAGATGGCGAGGGTAGCTAGCAGCGAGTGGCGGGTCGGGGTCAGGCACTGAGTGGCAAAGGGCACTACAGCGAGCCGCTATTTTCGAAGGGTCGCTCTATCCGCAGCGGCAGCCGGATACAATGGCGGCGTGGAAGTCGCCACGGGGGGAGAAGGCGTCGCATGGAGAGCTACGGACGGGGTGGGCGTGTTGATTGGTGCGGAGGGTGCGATGGGCGGCGAAATGTGGCATCACGAGACCCAGTGAGCATCTGCGCACGGAGGCACCCACTGAAAGGACGGATGTATTAACGATGGGTTGGTGCGCGGGCAGCGGGAGCTCAGTTCCGAATTTGCCCTACAAAGCACAAGAGATAGGGCGTGACCAAGGACTCAGAACGGTGTACGCGCGTACGCCTCTTGACGACAAAGGAGCGTGGATGAAGAGGATGAGCCAAGCGTCGGTACGCTTCGGTTGGCCTGGACAAAGAAGAAGTGTCGCGAGTCAAGCGTCGTTGCGCTTGGGCGAGCCCTGGACGAGCAAGGAAGCGTGTCAAGCGTCGGTGCGCTACGACGCGCGGAAGTGCTGAGCGTGTCGGTACTCTACGGCAGTAGATTAAGTAGTGAATATAAATAGGAGCGTACGCTCCGGCGGCATGGTGGCAGCCAATATCGTGCTAAGTGCGGCCGTCAGAATCCTGGCCGACGATCTCAGCGGGCACCAGTGACAGCGGTACGACCCGTCGGCGAGAAGGCGTCCCCAGACTCGTTATATGGTGGCCATACAGGGGCTGCCAGCAGAGATGACATCTGAAAATGTGGAAATCACGGCGGTGGTAGAGGACGAAATGGAAGGTGTCGCATTATTCACGAATCCGCAAGGAGTATGGAACCTTTATTCGGGTCTTTGGAAACGCGTAAGGTCGTCACGAAGCCGGTGGAAAACGAATAGCGGGCGCGGTAGCGAGGGTACGGCGCCCGCCAAGAGGCCGTTTTCCATGAAAGGAGGCGGGCAAGTTCACGGGTGGAGCGAGAGAGGCGGCATGCAATGGGGCGTCGGTCGCGGCGGCGCGGCCTGATGAGCCGGATGGTATGCCAGGGTGTGAAGTTGACGAAACGGAGGCGGGGTGGCTAGGACCGGTATGAAGAAGATCCCAACAGTATGACAGTGGTGATGGAGTGCATTGCGACGGATGCGGCGGTGACGGATCGGAAACGTGCTGCTCGATATGTCGCTACTGTACGACCTGTTATGGCAGTAGTGCGATTTGCACGTACCGGTGGGTACGACGCACCGAGCAATGAAACTAACGATGACGTACTGGCACTCGAAGAAGACACGCAAATCTTTGGAAGCGCTCGGGGTGACCGTATACGAAGTGCTGAAGAAGGCGCCGCGCCACGTGTGGAGCAGGACTCGATGACAACAGCGGTAGTCAGAGGCGATAACAGACGACCTTTACTGGAAGATACGGCGCAGTGCCGCAACGACCCAAGTGTGACAGAGGCAAGCGCTGCCAGGAAGCTTGTGAAGAATCAGTGCAAGCGGGAAGGAGTGAAACGAGCCCTGGTCTCTCGAAACGAACCAGGGGACGCCCTATGATAAATTAATATCTGGGGAGTGCTTAGTATACTTTAAATAAATATTACGAAAGAGCTAATAAGGCACTATCAATCCACACAATACTAGAGCTTTACGAAGGTTGGAATATGTAGCTTTTAAACATAAACAGGTTTTTAAAGTAGATTTTAAAAGCGATTTTTTTCGGATGCCTCTCAGCTTTCAATCGTGGTGATCATCCTAATCTGTTATTTGCAGCTTTATTTTGAAATAGTAGGAAAGAGTGCAAACATGGCAAATTCTGAAATGTTCGATGTATTGGCAGGGTTGTTAGAAGGACAAATCATTTGATCGATGTATTTCTTGCTAATACACTACATATTATACCTATCATTGAATTCTTTCAGTCAATCTTTTCTTTCTTATTATTACCGGCTCTTGCTACCTGTCATTACCGGCTCGTACCGGTTTGGGGACAGACGGACATACCCCTATTAATCCTATGTGAGCTGGGCTATCAGCACTGCCTTGCTTTCCTATTCCAGTATTAATACAAGCGTCTGTTTTAACATGAAATATCGGTTAAGTGCATTTTTAAGTCTTTATCCGAAGATATCCTGCTTAGCTTTATAATAAAACCTGTTAAACTTGGTGTTTTTTTATACGAAACGAGAGTTTTTCAACGTTTCCCATTCGAAAAATGTAAGAGTTCGATAACTACAATTAGGGTGCGCCACACCAAGATGGGGTCGAAGTAATTCCTATTAGGCTGTCCGTTCTACGTGACCGTAGTACTACCAAGATTAAATTAGACCTGCGATTTGTATACTGTATACAAATGTTGTTTTATGCTTCGAAATGAGTATTGTGTTTTCCCTTATTTTTGTCGTTCAGACTGCTGTGCAGGTATTTGCATATGTAATTTTTTACGAGCAACAAATACAGCGGCTAGGTCCTAACATTAGTGTTAACTCGGTTTAGAATTTACACTATGGTCAGCCTGATACAGACTCCACCAACAAACTAAAATTAACATACCCCCTCCCTGCGCAAACATGTCATACCTCTTTCAGCTTTTTCAGCCGGAAACATTTGTGGCACTTACGATTTGCAAAAATCTTAATCCTATGCTTACTTAATATATTTTGGGAACTTAGTGCGTTCACCCTTTTCAGTTCCTGGGCAGATCTCAAAGTATGAGTTCTACCTAAGCCTTTCACGCGTGGCTCTTTAATAATACGCGCACGCAATACCGCAAATCTGCTGTAGACTTGGCACAAGTAATAATTCACTTAAGTAAATTATACGCTGACTTAAGTACGATCTGTCTTTTCAAATAAAACAAATAATCATATAAGGGAATTTGTATGCTAGTGACTCATGGATTAGGTCCGAAATCATCATGGAGCGGCGCTTAGGTGTCACAATTCGCTCATAAGCAGCTGCAGTGGTTGTAAGAGAATCAGACCAAGAGCCTAGCGCAAGCGTTGTTGATGTGCTGCGTCAACTTAAAGAAAGTAAGCGGGAAGCTACTTAAAAACACTAGATACTCGACCTATCAATACAAAGCAGAAATACGACGGCTACCAAGCGGAGTTTGTACAGTGGCGAACCTCTCGGGGATTCCAAGATCGTGATATTGCGACGGGCAAGAGCTACATTTGTTTCTGTCGACTTCTCGATAAATGCTTACAATGAATGTCACAGTTTCGGTTAAGTGCGAAAATCAATTGGCCAACTTTAAGCTCGATTATCTCGATAACTCTATATGGTTCGTAAGGATCATTTTATTTGACGCAGTCTCATATGACTGTCGGGAAGGAAAATCCCCGTCCTCCTCCACGGTGGGCTAACTAGAGTGAGAGAACACTTGCGCAACAATTATACAGAATCATATGCTTACCGACAAATAAGTGAAAAAGTGTATCAATATAACAAAACGAAACGGCAGTTGACGAAATGAGTTACTTACGTCCATGTCAGACCTTTCTTACGGCTCCTGTCGGTGATCCGCCGCACCATCAAGCCGTTGCGCGTCAGGAAACGCCGAATGAACATCAGACTGGCTGCTCTTCAGCCCAAAGCGAAAAGATCAGGCTCAAATCTGCAGCGCATTAAAGCAAGCAGTTGGAAGACACACAAAATTATCTGTTTGGGCGCATATGTACAATGCATCCGAGCACGTAAACTTTTAACACTCATTCAATTAAAATATATTTCAGCGCACTCAATTGAAGGTGGACAGGTGAACCATTGGCTGAGGCGCGACGCGGGGATGAGGTCTGCATCTTTCTTTCAGCGGTGGAGTATGCACCGGCTCAATCCAACAATAGCCGCAACACCCACCACCGTAGCCCTGCCGACTTGAGTAATTTGGCGGCCTGAAGATATATATAAGAAAGCTAGAATTGAATACAAAAGCAGTAGCTCGAAACACGCACGTAGCTTCTTCGTGTTTATTTTTGGCTCCTGGGCAATTTGCGCGCGAAGCTAGAATGGCGCATCTACGCTCGAGTTATTTCAGCTGGCGGACAATAGAGCTAGCTGCCACTTGCGCGTAAAACAAATCGTGTTTTATACATACTACAGCTTCTTACCCCTGTTGCTTTGAATCCGTGGTTCACGGTAGAGACTCATCATAGCGAGATTACACGGCTACTAGCAGAGACCCTCCGGTTCGGGCGCCGATGCCCGAGAGACGATGAACGCGCAGGATGCTATCACACTGTAGTCTTCGCGCAGAGCGACAGCGAAGGCCTCTTCTAGCGTAGGCTGAGTCTTCCGTGTCGAGCAAAAACGCCGATATCCACGGTTCATGCCCAAGATGAAAACATGAACGTGCGTCGCCATGTCACCGATTACGTCGTGATGCACGAGATGCGATATCGTGCGTTTTGTTTGTACTCGAGGACATGGACATGTGTCTCTGAGTAAGCGAGGTGAAAGCCAATCATTGGTTCCGCTCGTCTTGGGGCGGCTTAAACGCAATCCACAGGTCGAACTTTATAAAAATTATGGCTGGAAGGAGCTAGCGTCGGCAGCAAGCTTGCCGAGTTTCCGTGCCTTCGCCTTACCTATCAACGTGGAAAGCAGGAAGCGCATACGAGCGAGCTCATATGAAATCTGCCAAGCTTCTATCGCGATGTCTACATCGCAGATTAACGGCTCAAGCTGAAGTGACCGTCGTCTTCACCGCAGTTGTAATGGGCCCCTCCATTACATAAGTAGGTAGATTTCTTTACAAAAGTAGGTGCATCAGCACACGACTAGCGTGTGCTGAAATGCTGGCATGCCATTGGCTGATATATGGGGAGCCAGACCCATTATTAGCCAATTGGACTATGACGTGTATTTGAGTGGCCAGGGCTGTGGCCTTGGTCCTAAAATAAAGTCAGAGTTGATTTTTCCTTAAACCTAAGACTCAGTCGTCCTATTGCGAGCTTCCTCAACACTATAGTGTAAGCAAATAACGGAGTAAATACCTGGCCCGTTACACCTGGTAGCACTTTGTAGTCCTTCCAACGACCAAGTTCGACATGAGCCAAGACCTCGACCACGCTGCCTTTCTCCATCTCACTCGGATCGAGTGGGAAGCTCTCCACCGCCTTGCGGCGGTGTCCGGAGAAGCCGTCGTCACGTCGCTGCTGCGCTCAGCGACGCCCGACGAGCAGCACGTTGCGGCACAAGAATTCATGGAACGCGAGCTCGCCGATGCGAATCGGCGAGTGTCAACTCCCTCGCGTATCTCCACGAATGACGTCGTGAAGCTAGAGACGTCCACCTACTCCGGTGCCGGAGAAGATCGACTTCCGCTGAATTGCTGGTTTCGAGAGATCGCCATCGCCTCGAGGTTGATCGAGGCGCCTTCCGCGAAGGTCCATTTCCTCCTCTCGCGGTTGTCTGGGAAAGCCAAGGAATGGGCTCTCGGCAAGTTGGTTGTCGATCCCAACGTCTTCCCCACTCTGGATACCCTCCAGAGTGACCTTCGGCTCGCGTTCGAGCCGCCGCAAGATGAATCCCGAATTCGGGCAGACTTCTTCGCCCTTCGGCAAGGCACGATGACTATGCGCGACTACGTCCAGACAACACGACACCTCGCGTCGTGCACCGTGTCTAAGCCGATCGATATGGCCTCTCAGGTTCATGTATTCGTATTCGGTATGCGCGAAGGCATGACGCGCTACTGCCTTACAAGATCGGACCCCTCCACGCTCGAAGAGGCATTCGCCCTCGCCCTACGCGAGGACTACGGTTGCGGCGTCATACGCTCACGCGCTACCTGCTTCTGCTCGGGATTCTGCGCCCGAGCCCATGGACATCGACGCTATCGATGCGACGAGCAATCGTCAGCGTTATGCAGCGCGTCGGAGCGGTGCTCGGAACAATCGTTCTCTCACCTGCTTCCGCTGTCGGAAGGTCGGTCATCGCGCGGCGGAGTGCCGCGCGCCAGCTCCAGTGCTTGCGCATGTCGATGCCGAGCCCGTGAGTTCTGACCAGCCAAAAAACGGTCAGGGTCAGTAGGGCCGGGGCGCCCTACTGGCTGGAATGGAGGTCCGGGTCCCCCCGTGGCAACCCAACCTCCTAGCCCTCCTGTGCTGCATGCACACTTTCATGCCACCACCACGCCGAGCGATTCAAGATTGATCATTGTCAGTCTTCATGTCGCCGGTGCCCGGCGACCACTGCGAGCGCTCCTTGATTCAGGAGCGACCGAGTGCGAACTCGAAGATGATGAGTCGCTCTCGCTGGACGAGATGTCACCCCCCTCTAGCGGGAGCCCCTGCTCGACCGCGGTAGTGTTCAGCGGGAGCGCCAACTGCTCGACCACCGGCTCAATTGACGGGAGCCCCTGCTCGACCGCCATATCGTTCGTCTGCGGGAGCCCCTGCTCGACCGCCATCTCGTTCGTCTGCGGAAGCCCCTGCTCGACCGCCATCTCATTCGTCTGCGGGAGCCCCTGCTCGACCGCCAGTTGGTTTTCATCCCCGCGTCGCCGCGGGGACTCGTCAGTTAACAGCACTGCGCAAGCCGTGCAGAGAGGG